GAGCGTGAAAATTATATAGTTTTGACCACAAGAAGATAAACAATGTGTCAATATTTTTATAATTGGAATAAAAAAGTAATATTACTACGAGTTTTAGAATTATGTAAAAAACATTTCCAAATTCACATGAAACATCTACAATGCATGAAATATTTGTGATTGGATTAATAAATTACCATGAGCGTTTCTCACCAGGAGTTCATGACCATTTGTTTTAAAATCCATCTGTACACTACATGATCTAGGTTAGATACACGAGTCAGTTACAGGAAATATTAAATATTATTGAAATCGTTAACTTTTTTCTCCATATTACTATCTAACGGAAGGTTATCTAGTGATTTCATAATGATAAAATATATTCTTTTCAATACAAGAATTAAAAAATGTACTACAAATTTTTTTGGATTAAATACAATAAATAGCAATGTAATTTCAGTTCTTTCATTTCTTCCGACTAATACAACTTTACTAAAAAATAATATAAGTGTCATCCAAATACAAAGCAAATGTTCAAAACTATAATTACGAGGAATCTTCAAAATATAATGTTCGAATAAGATAGAACTGAAAGTGCAATACTAAAACAGAAAAAATTAAAATAGTTTATAAATCACAACCATGAAAAGCTACCACAAACTCCACTTGAACCTTCTTCTAACTGCTTTAACCTATCAAAAGCGCAAACTGTTAGCAAAACAAAAGAAAATACACTCCGAGATTCTTAGCCCAAAAATTATCAAATTACCTTCTTTCCCTGTTGCTTTCTTTTTTCTTTCGTATGTTTTTCTTCAATCTATGACCTCGACATTGAAATATAAAGGAATAAAATTAGCAATTCAAACTAAACACAAAAGAAAAACAGGACATCCAAAATATTAAAACCTAGTACATATGATATACCTTTGTATATAATAATAGGTTATATTATATAGAGAAAGCAGAATATATTTTCTATGTTTTAATATTTGGATGTCTTATTATTAAAAGTGTCAACTAATTAAATTATTATACTCTTTTTTATGGTTTAAGAAAACAACTTTTCTAGGTTTTGAAAAAGGAAAAATATAGAGAAAGCACAATATATTTTCTCCATTTTATTGATTTAGTCACTTTGCTATTTCTTTTAGTGATTAAAATATTATGCTTTTTTTCACCGTTTAATAAAGAGAAAATTCATCAAATGACCAAAATGAGGGGGTGTTTGTAGCAAATGACCTAAACTTTAGCTTAAAGTTTTTGAAGGGCTGATTAAATTTGTTATAAAAAACTACGACTTAGGCATCGAGTTGATAACTTAGTTTAGTAATTAGACCAACATTTAGGTTGCAATCCTATATGTTTCTTCCTTGGCAGTGGCAAGTAGATATTCATGGTGGAGTCAAAGAGGGAAGATAAGAGAAATAAGATGTACCCTAGGTAATGGAGTCTTTGGTGTAGAATGATGCAATTGGTAGATTCTTAAAACATTGAAAGAGTTAGTAAGATAGAGCATTGAGAGTGTAAGGGGGGTGAAAATAGGCTTACAACTATATCAGATACAAACAAAATCAACAATTATTATCTCTCAACCTTATGAACCCATTTCCTCCTTACAATTACAGTTTAATTCTATCACCTAATCCAAGCAAATTACACTGTATATACACATTTAGTCACAAGAATTTTGCAAATATGATATAAACATATGAACGGATCAAAATATATGGTTTCATTTTGACATTGAAATAATAATGAAAAAAAACTAAATTTGAAACAAAGGCTATTTATGTGAAACCAAGAACATAAAACCATAATTACTGGAGAAAAGTCCAATACATCTAACCATGTGAAACCTCTACCAAATATATGGAATAAATAAATAAAACCATAACACCTACCAGTTTTCTTCATAGTAGCATTTGATTTAGCTTATTGGTGGACCATAATTGAAGAAAAACAGGGAGCTTCATCAAAAATTAGATACATACACAAAAGCATAAGAACACCAAATCTCCTTTCATACTCCATTTGAAATTAGTAAAAACAGGGAGCATAATATAATGGTTACCTCATATAAAGTGCATTTCCTCATACTCCCCCATCATTCTGGTCTACCCACTCAGACAATTAGAATTCAAACCTCAAATCTAAATTTTTAGGGAATACTGAAGCCTTTTTCCCCTTATAAACTTTCACATTTTGCAATAGCTCCGGCTGAAAAATAAAAGAAAGTGTGATTATATGTAGAATAACACAAATGATTGCTTATAATTGATATATAGCTGAAGAAAAAAATTCAACAGGCTGTTATGAAGCACCATATCTGACCTAGTGCAAGTTTTTTGAAGCCCAAACCCATATAGATCTACATCCCCTTTGCAGATGCTGGATCACTGGAAAACCATTGGTACCATCATGACCTAAGTTTACACAGTATCACATCTATTTAAGCCGAATCGAACGTTTCTCTTACCCTTTTTTTTTAAATTTCCAGCAAAGAGATACACACTACATCTATGTGAATGGAATCTTTGTAGTAAAGATGTAGATGAGATGCCTTGAACCACAACCCCCACTGCAAATAAAAAAAATTGCACCTGTTAAATCTCTCAGGGTATGGGAGCGACGACAATGCGATTTCGGATTGAATGAGATCTCTAGTTTGTAATCAATTAAGATATTGATTCGCGTCTCTGCTCAATTTCTAACACAAAAATAGGGTTCAAATGAATGGGTATAGAACTGTACTCGTATAAATAAAGAGATTGATAAATAATTTTGGAAACGATTATCTTCAACAATCTAAGGGATTTGGGAGCTGATTTATTGCAAAGAAGTTGGAAACACTTAATTGTTTCCAATGCAATAGCGAGAATGAAGACAGTTGGGGTACTAAGAGGCACAAATGGCATTATCAAAATTTAACTTGGAAACTTTGAGCGGGAAAATTAGTCTGGGAGGGGCTTATCAATTGCCATGTGGCAAATAAGGTTTTATTTATTAGATTAGGGCATTTAACTAATAAGAATTGAAAATTACCTTTTCTTGAAACTGATGTTGGTAAAAGACGGTGCCGATGAATGTAATTGCATTAGCTCTTTGCCGATGATTTGTAATTGCCGATTTTGCAATAGCCGACTTACGGTAGGTATGTAACTTTGTTTTTTATTATGTGCAGGTAATTCTTTATTATCCGATACAAAGTTAAAGAAATTGGGCAATAGAGGGGGCTGGTGGGATTAGGATGATTTTTTATTTTGAGCTTAAAACAATTAAATGAGATTTATTACTAATACTATATGAGAAAATAATCCAAATAAGAGAACGTTAGGGAGGAAGTGCACCCGCTAGTCCCCTTACTCCCTCCGCCCCTACGTAGGAATAAATTATGAGGAACATAATATGGTCATAACAATTACAAAAGCTAAAATAGTCCAAATATATATGTTTGAGGCTTTTTAGTTTAGCTAATACATATCTAATTAGATTGTTTTTAAGCCTACCTCGTAACTAAGACATCAATGAATATGCAAGAAAAAAAGCAGCTCATATCGATCTCATACGAAAAAAATTATGAAGGTCAGGATATGATAAAAAAAAATAAAAAAAGGTTGAAACAGCCCCAACACCCATGTTTGAGGCCATGCACTAAAACAAATACTTATACAGTTAATTTGATTCTTGGGCTTAACGTGTACTAAAGACTGAGAATAATGTGTTAAAAGAATTAACACATTTGAAGCTCGTAAAAAAAGTTATGAAGATTGGAACTTGTATCGATATTTGGTATCAAATTTCCCCTAATCCGGTGGTACCAGAACCGAAACTACCGAGCATTGATTTTTGCGATATGGAGGAATCGATAACCAAACCGATTTACCCTATATGGTGTCATTTTAGTTCGGTACCAATTTTACTCGCCCCATTATTAAAAAAAATTCAATGGCTTATTTTTTATTTTTTGTATTTGTCAACCATTATAATATGTAATTTTTTATTTTTACAATATATTATCAATAATTTATATGGTTAATTATTTATTTTGTTGTTTAATAGTCATTCAATATATTTCGTAACAAAAGAAATAGAATTCAGATAACCGGAACCGAAACCAATACCAATGATTCTGAGAGTAGTTTTAAAATATTAAGAACCGATGTGACCCATTCCAGGCTAGGTTCAGCTACCGTTGGTTCCGATAACATCCATATATATAAAAAAATGATCAAAAAAATATAAACAAAATTGCAAATTCCAGCGACTTTAACCATATGATTGATATCTTATCTAATTACATAGAGATACCTATAATGTTACAAAATCTTTTTTTTTTTCAAAAGTTATACAACTAGATAAACAAAGAAGTTTGGTTTTGCAGAATATTTGTGGTACTAATCTGAAAAATATTACTTTTAAAATAATTATCACATGTCATATTTTTTTGTTATTAGAAAATGAAACATAGTTCCTTCACATTATTAAAAACGATGAAAATAATAACAATATGTATTTTATTTAACAATTTTTTTAAAACATTTTTATCTTTTCATAAAAAAAATGGACCATGGAATTTGATTAGAAGCATCCATCCTATTAACACATCATATTACAATTCTATTAGTTTAAGAACTAATACTCATAATAAAATGCAAGATTCTAATTCCTTAGATCTTATGTTACCAACCTTCACAAAATACTATAATAAAATACTAGACAATCGGTGGCTATGCTAACCCATTGGCATTAATTTATATCATTATAATTTAAACAATCAAGCATGGAACAAACCACATCTCATATATAACAAACAAACACATACATATATATGATTTTTTTATTGTCCAATTAGAGTTATAGATTTTAAATATATCTTTATAGGCCTATTCTAGCAATATTTTATTTAAAATATCTACATGAAACAATAATTCCTAATTTTTATTGTTATAGTAAAAGAGAAAAGTTTGATACAAATCCAATGTTTTTGGTTCGTTGACCATAATACCAACCAACGGTTGACTATGATGGCAGATGAAGGGTATTTTGGTAATTTAATATCAAGGGTTGAAAAGGCTGCAGCACGAACTGAAATGGACGAATTAGCGACTTGGTTGAGTGTAATTTTAACATCTCTCTCTTGAACGCAAAAACAACCGCACTCACTTCGCGGTTGCAGTTCCCGTCGCCGTCGCCGGAGTTTCAGTACCAGCCGCCGTGCTCCGGCTCATACAGGCGCATACTCAATACTCATAATTCATAAACACACTCGCAGAGATCGCATTTCACATCTAGCGTTTAAACCCTAATCACCAGTTGCTACGGTTTCAGATAACAAGACAAAGAACAGCTACTGGGCTTTAGGTTTTGAGGAGATGGAGGATTCATCGGAGAAGTTATTAGAATCGGAGTCATCGGAAATGAAGGATGAGCTGTCAATGGAAATCGATCCTCCGTTCAAAGAGAACCATGCGACCGCTGAGGATTGGAGGAAAGCGCTGCATAACGTGGTTCCGGCGGTGGTGGTGCTTCGTACGACTGCTTGCCGAGCTTTTGACACCGAATCTGCGGGTGCTAGCTATGCTACCGGGTTTGTTGTCGACAAACGTCGGGGAATTATACTAACTAATCGCCATGTGGTTAAACCAGGTAAGCTGAGTTACTTCTTTTCATCATTAGCCACCACTTTTCAAATTTAGGGAAAATCTTAACGACATACATGATCTCAGATTGAGAAACTTAAGAACATTGGATCAGTTCTGAAAAGACTGTGATTGTGCAACAAGGGAGTAGAATTGTAGAAATTAGTAATCATGATCTTAATACGGAAGCAAAAAAGTTACCTCTTCAATGTTTCTGGATATATAATATATAATGATCAGCTTCATTAAGGTGTTATTTATGGCTGATTTGGTTATATCTTTTGTAGGTCCTGTAGTAGCAGAAGCTACATTTGTAAATCGTGAAGAGACTCCAGTCTATCCCATATACAGAGACCCTGTGAGTCATTTTAATGGATCATAGATATCTTAAGAGACTTACTTCAGTACCTTGGTTTTCAAATGTTGAATTTACTAATTCAAAGAGGCATTTTGTGAATGATAACAATATTATGTTTTTGCAATTTTAGGTTCATGATTTTGGATTCTTTCGTTATGATCCTGCTGCAATTCAGTTCCTGAGCTATGAAGAGATCCCTCTTGCCCCTGAAGCTGCTTGTGTTGGACTGGAAATTAGGGTTGTTGGTAATGATAGTGGAGAGAAGGTAATAAATTTACTTTTGTGGGTGTAATGTGTAATTGTGTACATGATTTTTGGTCACACAGGGGTATAAAATTGAACACTACACATACTTTTTGTCAATTTTCTTGATTATATCTTTGGGTGAAACTGACAGATCTCTATTTTGGCTGGTACCCTTGCTCGTCTGGATAGGGATGCTCCACATTATAAAAAGTATGCTACTTCACTATTTTTTTTAATACTTTTTTACCTTTATTTATATCACTCGATCCCAAACCTAACTAATGTTAAAATCAAAAATAAGGAAGGGCAAAAAGGTAAAGAAAATTTCAAACTTGACTTAATGTGGTAATGTATAGACAACTAGATATCTGGATGTAGTCAGAAAAATAAGCAAGGGCAAAATGGTAAGAAATTTTCAAACTTGACTTAATGTAGTAATAATGTGTAGTCTGTAGACAACTAGATATCTGGATGTAGTCATAGAAATAAGCAAGGGCAAAAAGGTAAGAAATTTATGATTATGTATGCAATATTAGCTTAAAATTCATGTTTTAACTAAAAAGATATTTCTTTCCTTACTGCAGGGATGGATACAACGATTTCAATACTTTCTACATGCAGGTGAGCTTCCTGTAATTATTAAGCTTAAATTTTATGATTTTCTTCCAATCTTTTTAATTTTTAATTTTGTATTTGTATTTTTCCACACACACACACACACTAGGCTGCTTCAGGTACTAAAGGTGGTTCAAGTGGTTCCCCAGTGATTGATTGGCAAGGAAGGGCAATTGCACTGAATGCTGGTAGCAAGACTTCTAGTGCTTCAGCATTTTTCTTCCCTCTAGAACGCGTTAGTTAACAATTATCAAACTTTATTCTTATTATTTATATTTATAAAGAAAAAAAAAAGTGACAACTTATATAAATAATATCGTTGCAGGTGGTGAGGGCGTTAAATTTCTTACAAAAGGGGAGAGATTCTGGTCAAGATAAGTGGGAGGCTGTCTCAATACCTCGTGGTACCCTCCAGGTTTGTTTGATTTAACTTTTAATTAAATCATTAAATGAGAGTTCTTCAATCTTGATTTTGATTTTGATTACCCTTTTTCAAAATGATTCGTATTTACATTTATGCCACTGCTTTTATTCAGACAACTTTTGTCCACAAAGGATTTGATGAAACCCGTAGGCTAGGCCTGCAAACCGAAACAGAGCAGGTATGTGGTTTTATACTTTTATTCATCTTTATTCTTTTTTCTTTTTATTAAAAAAAAAAAAAAAACTTGAATTTTATTTGTGGATTATTTTGTTAGCTTGTACGCCACGCATCTCCACTAACTGAAACAGGAATGCTTGTTGTTGATTCTGTGGTAAGTGATAAGTCTCCTTCCATTACTTGATATCTATAATTTTAGCAGTATGTTTTATGGGTGATGCCTACGTGGACATATGATGTAGGTGCCAGGTGGCCCAGCTTATAACCATTTAGAGCCAGGTGATGTACTTGTTCGCATGAATGGTGAGGTATGTATAAAATATAAAATATAAAATATAAAATATAACAAATACCAATTTATGAATTATTATGAATTAAACAATTGTGTGTACAGGTGACTACTCAGTTTCTGAAAATGGAGACTTTACTTGATGATAGTGTTGGCCAAAATGTTGAGTTACAGTTTGAAAGAGGTGGCACACCTTTAACAGTTCAGTTAAATGTAAGTAACTATATGCCAAGATTTTGTAATTTGTAAAAGTCAAAATACTAGTCAACGATACTAAAAATTCTCCATATGTTATTGATTGTTATCTTCAGGTGGAAGATTTACACTCCATAACTCCAAATCATTTTCTTGAAGTTAGTGGTGCTGTTATACACCCTCTCTCCTATCAACAGGCTAGGAATTTTCGTTTTCACTGTGGTCTTGTATACGTATCAGAACCTGGGTAAGTTAATTTAAGTTAAGTTGTTTAAAATTTCTTTACTATGATATGATAACTTAACTTTTGTCATATCTATATATGCAGTTACATGTTGTATAGAGCAGGGGTCCCACGACATGCAATTATCAAGAAATTAGCAAGTAAAGACATTTCAAATCTTCAAGACTTGATCAATGTTCTTTCTAATTTAAGTAAAGGAGCTAGGGTTCCTTTAGAATACATAAGTTATACAGATCGCCATAGGAGGAAGTCTGTTCTTGTTACAGTTGATCGCCATGAGTGGTATGCTCCACCTCAGATCTACACTCGTGATGATAATTCTGGTATTTGGGTAGGAAAACAAGCTCTGGTTGTGGGTCCCACTTTCGAAGTTATTAAAGGTGTTGATGTTGATGTTGGTGAACAAGTGGCTAATGGTAATAATGTTACAAATATGGAAGATTCATCATCTGATAATGGTAATGGAAATGCTTCTGTTGCTGAACGTGTTATAGAACCCACTCTTGTCATGTTTGAGGTAAATTACAACATTGAGTCTGAAATTTTTTTACATTTGATTGGATTGATGTTGATGTATGATGTGAGATGACATGGCAGGTTTATGTGCCATCATCATGTATGCTTGATGGGGTCCACTCACAGCATTTTGTTGGAACTGGTGTGATTATATATCATTCTCAAGACATGGGATTGGTTGCAGTTGACAAGAATACTGTTGCCATATCAGCATCTGATGTCATGCTTTCTTTTGCTGCTTTTCCTATAGAAATCCCAGGAGAGGTAAATACAATTATGAAACAGAGTAATTAACTTTTAACTTTTTAACTGTTAATACTAAATCTTACGTACTTTTTCAGGTGGTATTTCTTCACCCTGTGCATAATTATGCTATTATTGCATATGACCCTTCTGCCCTTGGAGCTACTGGTGCTTCATTAGTACGAGCTGCTCAACTTCTTCCTGGTAGGCAAATTTTTTGTTATTTTTATCCATTTTAGTTGATACTGATTTTTTTTTTAATTTTAAAAAAATAGAACCTGGGTTGCGTCGTGGAGAGAGTGTATACCTTGTGGGGTTAAGTAGAAGCTTACAAACAACATCTAGAAAATCTGTTGTGACAAACCCATGTGCAGCTTTAAACATAAGCTCAGCTGATTCTCCACGTTATAGAGCAACCAACATGGAAGTGATTGAGCTTGACACAGGTACTTACTTTACTAATCTATATACGCATTCAATAATTTTAAAGAGATGGATCTTTTATTGTTTTATAAAATTTATGCAGATTTTGGTAGCAGTTTTTCGGGGGTGCTTACGGATGAGGAAGGAAGGGTTAAAGCTATATGGGGAAGCTTCTCAACTCAGGTTTGTACTAATCATCGATCAAAAAAACAAAAAGAAAAGGAAGGTTGGTTGGTTGGTTTTCTTTAGTTTTATTCGAATCACTAATAGGTCAAACTAATGCTCTAATATTTAAATCCTAATTTCAGATAAAATACGGGGTGAATTCATCTGAAGATCATCAATTTGTTAGAGGCATTCCTATACATTCCATAAGCCAAGTCCTTGATAAAATCATATCAGGCGCAAAAGCAAAAGCAAAAGGTCCCTCCCTTCTTATAAATGGTATAACAAGACCCATGCCTTTAGTTAGGATTTTGGAAGTTGAGCTTTATCCTACTTTGCTTTCTAAGGCTAGAAGTTTTGGCCTCAACAATAATTGGATCCAAGTATGTTTCGTTTTCTTTTTTTTTTTTTTTTTTTTTCTTATCGTCAAATGATATGTATAAATTTATATTTATTTTTTTATAAATTTGTTGTCAGGCTCTTGCGAAAAAGGATCCTGTGAGACGTCAAGTTTTACGGGTGAAAGGCTGTTTGGCAGGATCTAAAGCTGAGAATTTATTAGAACAAGGGGATATGGTGTTGGCTATTAATAAAAAGCCAGTTACATGTTTTCAAGATGTTGAGGATGCATGTCATGTATTGGATCTTTCTGATAACATTGAACAGAAACTTGAATTGACCATATTTCGTCAGGTTCGTTTAATCAAATATATATGGTTCTTATTTTTTTAGATTATTTTAATTCTGTTGAAATTGATGATTCTTATTTGTGGATTTTCTCAGGGATGTGAAATTGAAGTTGTTGTGGGAACAGATATAAGAGATGGAAATGGTACAAAACGTGTTATAAATTGGTGTGGATGCTTTGTACAGGAACCTCACCCAGCAGTGCGTGCCCTTGGCTTTCTTCCTGAAGAAGGCCATGGTGTATATGTCACCAGGTATCATTTTTCTCATATCTTTTAACAAAATTACATTTTTAGTCCCTGAGTATAGTTGGTTTTTGCAATTTCAGTCCCCAAATATAGTCATTTTTCTTGGGAACCAGAAATGTTACAAAAACCTCAAATAAGAACAAAACTACAAGAGGAAACTTTTGGGACCAAAACTGAAAAAATCAGCTATACTCAGGGACCAAAGATGTAATTTACTTAAAAAATTTTCAACAGCATGTGTTTCATCAGTTTTATGTTTTAAAAAAGAATTTAATTTGTACTAAATAAAATTTGCAGGTGGTCTCATGGGAGTCCTGTGCATAGATATGGTTTATATGCTCTTCAATGGATAGTGGAAGTTAATGGGAAACCAACTCCTGACTTGGATGCTTTTGTTAATGTCACAAAGGTACAAACCATCTGAATAAGTAATGACCATTTTACCCTTACATTCCAAAGATTTTTTTTTTTTTTTAAATATTCATCTTACTTAACGTGAGAGGAGTTGGTTTTTTTGGCTTAACACATTAAGTCATTCTACTATACCAAGAAACTGGTAAAATGAAAGTATTTATTGAATTCTATCTTATTACAGGAAATTGAAGATGGAGAATTTGTTCGTGTAAGAACAATCCACTTAAATGGGAAGCCACGAGTGTTGACACTGAAACAAGATCTACACTACTGGCCTACATGGGAGCTAAGATTTGATCCAGAAACTTCAATGTGGCAAAGAAAGACTATTAAGTCATTAGCAACTGGAGATAATAATAAAAATAACAATAGCCTTTGAAAACCGTGTACATACTCCTAAATCCTAAGTCCTATCTTATATATTTGTTTCTGGAGTTGTCTTAATTCAACTTCCAGATATACATATTATAACTTATATACATTACTTCATGTACATTTCATGTCAAATAATTATAACAGTGTAATTTAATTTGCATTTTGGAATCATGGTTTTTGTTTCTTAGCCTCTTTGGTTATATACATATCAGATTTAAAAAGATTATATATATAAGAAAAAGGTTATGAATTACATTACAAAAATTCTGAAGGTGAATTTGCATCTGGCTTTCCATTGTCATCCAAAACACCTGGATGCTGCAAATTCTGCAAAACCTGTGGACCCAAATTCCCCAATCCATCATTACCAGATCCAAAAAACTGACAAAAAACCCTAGCCATCACTCCAAGAATCTGCATTTGATTCTGGCAAGCATTAGCATGCAATTGCATCATCTGTTTCTCATGTTCCATTTGCATACTCACCATCTTCTCCCTCCATTTCATTTCCTCCTCCTCCCACCGCTCCTCCACTGCCATCCGTCGCCTCCTCTCCTCCTCAAATTCCATTTCTAACTTCACCCTGCTCTCCACTTCCCTTCTCCCCATCACCATTAACAACTCTTCTTCTTCTTCTTCTTCTTCTTCTTCATCGTCATCCTTTTCTTTTCCATTGATGTTCATGTTCTTCCTTTCTTCTCTCTCTAAACCAATTTCCTCTCTCCTCCTCCTCTTCTCTTCTCTCCTCAACACAACATCTCTCAGCTCCAACATTTGAGCTCCGACTAACCCTAACATCCTCCCACCTACTCCTTTCCGAAGCTTCTTCACGTGAACTGAACCAGAATCATCGGTTTCCTCTTTCTCACTATCACCATCGCCATCGTTATCGTCATCTTCATCGTTCTGCAATTCGTCAAAACCTAATCCGAAAAACTCATCTCCACCGTTACGTGAATACGCAAAACCGGAATCGGCAAATAGATCGCCGCCGACGTCGCTAAACCGCTTGTTGTCTCTAGATTCGAGCTCGATGTCGCCGAAAACTTCCTTATACTTCATGAAATTCTCCCAGTGATTCTCCCCGTCTTTCCAGTTGTATTCGCTATCCGAAACCCTAATTTTTTGCTTCACTCCTAAGTACTGATGACGCATGTTTTGGACTTTTATTGATACGTCACGCCATGACCACTTGAACGGGAAGCTGCTCGGGTCACGGAGGTGGTGGACGGAGTTGACATGTTCGGCGATTGGCTTGAATTTCTTTTCTCTGGTTTTTAGCTTCGCTAAGGCGCCGGAGGTGTGGAGGTCGGAGTACTTGGTCAGAAGCGTTTGTTCTTCGAGCTCCGACCACTTCTTGCGCTTCATTGATCTTCTACCGACAATTGATCGGAAAACTCGGGGGATTTTACGGATTCGTTGGCCGGAGTTGGAGGAGGAGCCAAAATAGGGGGAAGGATGTGTGAGAATATCACATCTGTTTGTGAGAGATTGGGTGAGGAAGAATGGAAGATATAAATAAGTATTAATTAGCCCCTCATATTTCATAAGTTTTGTTCAATTAAGGACTTGCGTAGAGATTTCATACAACATCATGTGTAAATTCGCCATACAACAAAATTAATTTAGACAAAACTTCATAAATGTTCCTAAGGTATCTTGCAATCTAAAGTTTAGTCCATAAGTTCCTTGTGATTTCAAAACTTTTATTTTTTAACTCACTCTGTCCGTTAACTAAATGACATTTTCGTCATTTCAATACCACAGGGATTATTTGTGAAGTTTTGTTCTCTCTCTCCAAAAAGAACCTATCTCAAGAAGAATCTGAAACAAAAAAACAAAAAAAATACTCATAATCAAAACTTATTGCTGTTGGTTTTGAATAATTTGGATTTGAAGAATCCTCCATTATTTTTCACTCGACTACCTTTTTGGAAGCGTGGAGCCAAAGCCCACGACATCTAAGACAGACGCAGTGGTTACAGCTCCGGTGAACCATGTTCATGTTGCCGTTGGCACCAATAAAGCCACCTCTTATCCTACAACCACCGTGCCCAACCTGATATCACAAAACATATTCCAGCTAAGATTAAGGGTAGCAAAAAAAACATATTCCAATGTCTCAAGGATGGGATGAAACTTGTGGCCGCTTCTCCACCAGCCTCATTTTTTAAGACATTCATAGTGGCTAGACCCGATCACCCTCTCTCCCTTACCCTAAGAGCATTCAGCTAAGCCCAAAGCTCCACAAGAGATCGAGGAGCTGCTGCATCTAAATTGCTAGGATCGCAATTGATGGATCCAATTCTCTTACAATTTTCCCTTATTTTAGTTTCAACTCCTTAATTTTGTATTCCTATCTCCAGTGTTCTAAAAGGCGTGCCATGGCATGAGGCGCGATTTCGTCGTTACGAAAGACCTCATAAAGTTGTTGTTAGTTGTGACGTGTGGCAAGACGTAATATGGCGTGCCATAACGTGTTATGACACGTGTTTTTCGTTTGAGACACGTTTTTTTGCTCTTTTTTAATGTCTTTTCTAATCGTACATATAAAAATTGTGTTTTTTGTTAACTTTTTGTTATTAGTTGTTGATATAACACTTCAAAAAACTAGTTATATTTGATATAAATCTATATTTACGTGGTATTATAATTATAAATTAATACAAAATCGCCGTCATACATTATGCCTTGAAAAACGTCATGGTTCGCCATTGCTCGTTAAGCTTGAGGCTTGACTTTGACGCCACACCACGCCTCACGTCTTTTAGAACATTGCCTATCTCTATACATCTTCGTCTATTTGTTGAATTGGATGTCTTGGAAAGAAAATTTGAATCGTATGCTTCCAATGGTGATAATTCTGAATAAATAAATCAGAAAATAAAGGAGGTGAACAATGCACGTATTAAACAAGAAAAGTACCTTAATATATTGCAATATATGAAAAAAAGTACATTCACCGAGGTTCTGGAAATGAAATACTTTCGAAATATAAAACACGTAACAAACAAGAAAAGTGAAGGAAACTGGAATGAGTTCATTGTTCAACCAAGAAAACATCAAACCCCCAGGAGTAATTTTAGTGTGTGTGTGTTTAGGAAGAACACAATATATATATATATATATATATATATTATATATATATATATATATATATATATATATATATATATATATATATATGGCTAGGTTATTTTGTTTCTTACATTTATTGTGTGCTAGAATGCACCAATAGGAATTTAGTAAAATTAAATAATTATTTAATTAAATAAATATAAATATTAAATGATATCCATAATTATAATTCTTTTTTTATGGAAACTAATTAAATTCGTCATCAATGTTAACAATAACATTCTTTTAGAATGGATTCGCATCTAGGTTTTTATATGAGTTCGTATTTTGTTTAATGACTCACTCACTTAAAATACAATAAAGTTGCATGAAATATAAAGAACGATAGTGTATTCTACTAGAATACACTCTCATTCTGTTGGAATACACTCTCATTCTTCTAGATATGAATTCATTCTGAAAGAATATTATTGTCGACATTAATAACGAATTTAATTAGTTTCCATAAAAATGAGTTATAAGTATCGATAACATTTAATATACATATAATTAATACTAAATTCCTATTGGTGCATTCTAGCACACAATAGATATAAGAAACATTTGAACCTACCTCTCTCTCTCTCTCTCTCTCTATATATATATATATATATATATATATATATATATATATATATATATATATATATATATATATATAGAGAGAGAGAGAGAGTATGACCCTTTTATATTAAATAATTATATATTTTTTTCTTTTTTTTTAAATAAAGCAAAATTTCATAAATGGTATATGTGATAGTGAAATGACAAAAATGTCATTCAGTTAACAAACAAATACTAACGGAGTGAGTAATAAAGAGTAAACAATAAACGTTTTGAAACAACATAGACCATCTGTGAGGGTTTTTAAACTTAGAGTCTAAACTTTAGATTTCGGGATACCACAGGAACCATTTATGAAGTTTTGTCATTAATTTATGACCAAAATTGATAATATTTTAAATTTAATGATTCGTTATTAGAATATTTGAGACATGAACTTTATGTTGATAGCAATGTTTAGTAACATTGTTGATAGTTATGATTTGCAACAATCTGTTCATTGCTATCATTATATTTTGAGGTTTTTTTTTTTTTTAAGATTCAACATTTGATTAGATCAAATTAATATTCTCGTGTGATGAATATATTGAAAAACATTGTGTTCACTGTTCCATATTTTATAAACATCCCATTCTTCAAAATACAAACTAGAAACATCATCTCTTCCACATAAAGAAAAACTCGAAAGATATAGTATAAAGTTACTACCTTCCATATTATTCCCTTCCACATGTTGTTGTATGAACCAATCCTACGGATATGTCAATTCCTAGCCTTTACAATTGGTTCCAACCAAAAGCTTGATTTTGTTTAAATTTTTGGTTATCCTCACACTAGTTTGAATTTATCAGAAATTCTACATAACAATATCATCCTCTATAAATTAGAGAATAAAGTTTTTTCAATTTCACTTTGTTAGCTGTCAATATATATTTACTCCTGTAATTTTATCTTTTATTATTAGGATATATTGTAATTTCCATGTATATCCCTTATTGATAGGGCTTCTTCTCTGTATCATTATAAATTGATGGTTTAAGCCATCACACAAGGACAGAAAAATTGATTCCACCGTTTCTCTAAGTTGTCATGGTATCAGAGCATTGACTCTCTTTTTGTTTTTGTTTTTCCTCTTTTCTACTTTTCTCATCATTCTGATAGCTCCATGGCAGGAGACAACCCAAAAAATGATGGTTCCTCCTCTTCTATTAAGAAATCTACCTCACCTTATGACCTAAATCCAAATGATAACCTCGGAAATCTTATTACACATGTCAAACTCACAGGCACAAAATATGATGAATGGGCAAAAGCAGTCTGATGTGCCCTTCGTTCCAAAAAGAAATTTGGGTTCTTGGA